GTAAATTTTAGCTTAATAAAATATAAGGATTTTAAAATGACATTTTAAAAGATTCTCTTTCTCCCCTCTTCCTTCCCTCCTTCTCTCCCTTTCTCTTCTCTCTCTTTCTTTCTCTCTCTCTCTCTCTCTCACACACACACAGTCACAGAGTTAAAATTATAAGTGAGCAGAACAAAGTGTGATGATTTCAGAGACTCTAAAATAATAAATCTGCCCTACAGAACCCTGGGTGCTCCAAATTCCACAATAAGAACTTCATTTTTTTTTTCTTAAGCCAAACAGTGCTTTATCTCTTACTAAAAGTTTTCACATTAACTGATAACACTCCTCTATACTTTACTTTGAATATATACAGTAGCTCTTTTCTTCAGAGAAGTTTTGGATTGGTGGGAAAAGACAGAATATAATGAGTAGATGAATGAAGAAGATATGAAGGAAAATTTTTCTGAATACTTTCCATGTGTTCATGGTGGGTATATATTTGCATATATATTTCACTTCAAGTTTTGAAAGAACCCAACATTTTCAGCTCATTGGCTACTAAGTGTAGGCATAGGAAACTTAAGCTCTATGTCGAATATTGTAATTCCCCAGAATCCTCAGGTTTACTTGAGTAACTGTGTTGAAGACTACATGGAAAGAAATAATTCAGATATTACCTATATAACACTTAAATAAATGAGAGAGAACTATTTGAGTTGTAGTTCCCAGTCTTTCCAGAAAAACAAAATTGTCATTATTTCCCCATCTCTCTGATCTGAAATTTGGAATAATTCTTCTCCTATGAACACATTTATTATGAAATAAATATCAGATTTCTTCTTTAACTTATAAAATATAGTTAATAGCCAACCAATGCTTCTGAATAAACTGCATTCATACGTTTTCAAAAAAGAGCAAAAAAAAAGTGACATGAATTAGTCTGTGTGCCTAACTGCATAAGTAACGCTCAGTGTTTATTAGGTTGTTTGAAATGCTAAAAATAATTCAAAGATCCCTGTTACTACTATACTGCTCTTACAGAGGTAAAAATCTCATGTAGGAAGACACATCCAACCTTTCATTTTACAAACGACATACTAAATGGCTTGTCTAAAGCACACTGGTCTTTCATGACACAATTAGAATGCAAATTTAGTTTTTCAACTTCAACATTGATAACTGTTACCCTCTACCATGTTGCTTGCCCTTCTGATGCAGAAATTTGGGAATAATGAGGTAATTTAAGAATGTCTCTAAAAAAATAAGAAAACAGATTTCAGCTCTAACCATATCAGAAAAACTTACAGGTATAATGTAATTAACATAAGAATTTGTTTGAAGACATGATAACAGAAATTACAGTGAAAATACTGTCAAGGACTAACTAAAATTGCATTATCTGCAGCTGTCCTTGCAGAAGTCATGTGCTTCTGTTGGAGCAGGAGGAGGGGAGGGATATGGATTAAAGTAAAGAGGGAGAGGGGTCAGAGAAGTCAGAGAAAGACAAAATCAAAGAACTAGTTATATGCAACCTCAGAGGCCTTAACCACAGAAACACATTCTAAAAATATGCCTCTGGTAGTTCTTTTATTTTCTAAGGAAGTAGAGGGTTAAGAGGCATGAAAGAGATCAAGGATGAGTTTCAGTAGGTCCAGTGTCAATATTTCTCCCCACCAGTTTGTTGACATGAAATTATTTTAAGCACAATATAATGCTTTTATTTCACTAATAAAAGACACAAATCTTAGGACTTCTGGTCAAGATGGCAGCACAGGCAGACATGGCTCAACTCTTTACACAACCACATCAAAATTACCAGTAAAATACAGAACGACCATCACTCAGAACCACCAGAAATGCAGTTGAATGGAAGTCTGAGAGCTATGGAATTAAAGAAATCACATCCATCCAGACTGGAAGGAGGGGCACAGAAGCAGAATGGGCCAGTCCCTCACCCATGTGTGGTAGATAAAAATTTTGGTGGGATATCTCAGAAGTGAGAAGTCCCAGCCCCAAACCAGGCCTCCCAGCCCAGGGTTGCAGTGCTAGGAAGATAAGTCCCCACAACTTCTGGCTGCAAAAACTAGTGGGGATTGAATGGTAGAAGAAACTGCTGGAGCCTCAAGCAGTTCCTCTTAAAGAACCCACACACACAGACTCATCTACTCAGACTCCCTCCCTCTAAGCTCCAGCACAGGGTGGCAGCTTAAAAGGCACCACTGGAATACTGGGAGAAACTGCAGTGTCTGACATCAAGGCAAGCAGAGGACACTGTCCCTCTTCTAAACCTTCCCCACAAAAAGTTTGCAAGCTGGTAACATATCTGAGACTGCATCAACCTGGCTGACACTGTGTGATCTGCCTTGGTGATCCCCAGAGGCTTGACCCCACCCAACTTATAGACCCACCCAAGCTGCTTTTCCATAAGAATGCCTGGCCTTTGCTCAAGCTTCACAACTTCCTAAATCCTCTCAAGCAATAGCCGGCCTCAGTGAGCCCCAGGCCTGGCAGTAGCAACAGCCAGCCTAGATTCACAGCTTGGCTACACCTGGGAATCTCTAAGCCCAGCACAAGCAGCAGCCATCTCAGATTGCTTTATAGCTCAGGTAGGGTGCCCGTGGGCAAAACACTGGTGGGGGCTGACGTTGGCCTGCACCACCCAGGAAACCCCAGGGCCAGCGCACCCAGTGGACAGTGAGAGACCACACTGGAGTACCACCACCCTGTCCCCGCAAAGCTGACCCTCCACGGAAGGTGGAGATTGGTGGTCAGTGGTCACAGGCAATCCTTGCAGCTGACTGGCCTGGGTAAATCCCTCCCATTCATCTTCCAACAGCAACCAAGGCTCAACTACAAGAGGAGGGTGTACTCGGCCCACACAAAGGGCAAACCTTGAGTACTCAGCTTGGGTGATACGGAAGGCTAAGCCACTGGATCCTACAGGACACCTACTACACTAGGCCACACTACCGAGACAGGGAGTCATAGCAGCTCTACCTAACACATAGAAACAAACACAAGGAGGCTGCTAAAATGAAAAGACAAAAAAATGGCCCAAATGAAAGAACAGATAAAAACTCCAGAAAAAGAATTACACAAAATGGGGTAAACAATCTATTAGATGCAGAGTTCAAAACTGGTTATAAGGATGCTCTAGGACATTAGTGAGGACTGCAGCAACATAAAAAAGATCCAGTCAGAAACAAAGGATACACTAACTGAAATAAAGAATAATTTACAGGGAAACAATAGTAGAATGGATGAAGCTGAGAATCAGACCAATCATTTGGAACATAGGATGCAAACAACAACCAATCAGAACAAGAAGAAGAAAAAAGAATAAAAAAAAAATGAGGATAGTTTAAGCAGCAACTGGGACAACTTCAAGAGGTCTAAAATTCACATTATAGGGATGCCAGAAAGAGAAGAGAAAGAGCAAGAAATTGGAAATCTGTTTGAAAAAATAATGAAGAAAAATCCCCTAATTTGGTGAAGGAAATAGACATGCAAGTCCAGGAATCACAAAGAGTTCCACACAAGATAAATGCAAAGAGACCCACTTCAAGAAACATCATAATTAAAATGCCAAAGGTTAAAGGTAAAGAGAGAATCTTAAAAAGCAGCAAGAAAATATAAGTTAGTTACCTACAGGGGAGTTACCATAGAGTGTCAGCTGATTTCTTAAAAGAAACTTAGCAGGCTAGGAGGGTTTGGCTAGAAATACTCGAAGTCATGAAAAGCAGGGACCTACAGCCAAGATTGCTCTACCCAGCAAAGCAATCATTTAGAATCGAAGGACAGATAAAGAGCTTCCCAGATGAGAAAAAACTAAAGGAGTTCATCATCACCAAATCATTATTATATGAATGTTAAAGGGACTTATTTAAGAAAAAGATGATGAAAACTATGAACAATAAATTGCTAAAAATACATATCTATCAACAATTGAATCTAAAAAACGAACTGAGCAAACAAGAATAGAGACAGAATCATGGATGTAGTTTTGATGGTTGCCAGATGGGTGGGGGGTTTGGGGGAATGCATGAAGAGGTGAGGGGATTAAGAAGTACAAATAGGTAGTTACAGAATAGCCATGGAGATGTAAAGAACAGTATAGGAAACGGAGTAGCTAAAGAACTTATATGCATGATCCACGGACATGAACAATGGTGGGGGGATTGCCAGAGAGAGTGGGGGGGTGTGGGGTGGAGTGGGGCAAAGGGGAAAAACATCAGGACAACTGTAATAGCATAATCAATAAGATATGATTAAAAATAAATAAAAGACACAAATCTTAAAATTCATGTGCTGACTGAAGGAAAATTTAATCAAGTATAAATGACTGCCAGTTGATCAGTTCTAAAAGTAGAAATGGGGTGAAGTGGACAGAAGGGGACTGGAAACCTGAAATACACAGCCTGGAAAAAGAGGAGGCTAAGAAGGGTCTTACCTTGTAACATTAGTTTACAGAGAGCCTCCTATCACTTCCATCAGTAGTTAGACTACAAGGAATTTTAGTCATGTATACATATTAGCAGACAATTTTGTTTTTTCCTGTTCAACACTCAGTTCTGCATAGTTCTGGTGAGTTTATCAGTCACAGTACCCTGCTCCCCAAGGGGTAGGCCTGGCCAATCATGCTCTTGACAAAGCACATGAAAGAGTATTAATAATGTATTTTTACATTATTAAGCTACAACTGCATGCAGTCCTGATCTCAAGGGTTCCTGAAACATGGGCTTTTAAAAATTCTGAATTTGGCTACAAAAGGACTTTCTAAAAAGAACCTTCCTTAAATCAGGGCATCAGAGTAGTAGGTAAACAATGATGATAGCACCTCTTTGCAAGATTTTTCCAGAAAACCCTTAGCTAACCAGGAGAAAAATATGATTAGTGACAGTACTTGAGAACCCCTTTGTATGTGATTACAAACTCAATTATTAAAGTCCAAAAGCATAGTAAAAATATATTTTAAATGTATCAACAAATATATAAAGGTAATGATTTACAATACTTACTTTAATTTCTGGTTGAAACCAGCTCTTTGTCTTTGTGTCAAAGACATGAACATCATTATGCCATCCCCAGAATATTTGCTCTTCCTAAAACAAGATTTTTTTAAATATTTAAAAGATTTTATAACTTTTAGATTGTTATAGCTTCATTGCACATTAACTAGTGAAATAATAGGCACCTTTACAAAAATGGAGTTGTTACCATATTCATAAAGCTAATGCAGGTACCAGTGGCTCACAAAGTATGGTCCCCAGACCAGAGCAGCATCCCCTGGCAACTTTTCTTCTCAGAGTATAGCCTGCAGTTATAACTTACTTGTTAACAATTTTCCAATTCCCTCAAAAGATTGTCTCTTTTAAAATTGCAGAGGACACAATGATGTTTACATTTTGAAGTCTGTTTTTCTAAAGTACGTACTCAGTAACCCTAATCTTTGGTATTATAAACGTTAGGGGACTATGGTCCCTTTCTCAAAAAAGTCCCAACCACTTCTACTTAACCAAGCAATCTGCTCTTAGAGGTCAAACTTATACTAATTTTCCTCTTTGTCTTCTAAGAGACAAATTTGTTGGCAAGGCAAAGATTTAGCAGTTATATTGCGTTTAGCACATTCCAGATTGTTAAAATCCTCTATCACAGGTTACTTCTGTGCCAGAATTATGTTTTATGTCAGAAACACATCACTTTTGTCAGGACTTGTCAAACTAAAAAAATTACAGTTTAGAATCTAAACAATAAAAATCCACTGTACACCAGACTCAGAAGATGGTGGCAAAGTAGGTGGGAGCTGAGCCCACTTGCTTGTGCACCCAACTGGGACATTTAGCTGGTCATCTGAGAAACAAAGTGAAGAGCCAACAGAAGGTTAGCCAATTTGAAGTTTGGAAGCCAAAGTGTGCAGAGGACACCTCAAAACAGGTGGTAAAGAGGTTTTAGGGGCAGATGAGGAAAGTCCCCGGGCATGGCACCAGAAAGCGCAGGGGCAGCAGGGATAACATCGGAGAAGATCTGGGTTAGTAATAGCTGCCTCCTCTCCCACAGCGGCGAAATCATAGACCAGCACCAGGAGAGACTGGAACATGTAAAGACACAGGGTGGGGTGGTGGGCAGAAGCGGCAGCAAACAACCACACTGCTGGCAGAGGTGCACCTACGCTGGGGCAGCAGTTGCTGGCCGGGACAATGTCAGAAAGTGAGGGGGATCCAAGCAGCCCCTGGAACTGGGAGAAGATGTGGGCTGAGACTGGCCATGAGTGAGATAGACTCTAGACTTGCCAGAGAGTTGGAGTGTGTGGAAAGCCGGATAATGGGTCAGAGCAGCAGCGGACCCCACAGAGATATTTTTCAAAACGGGAACTGAGGCACACTGGGCAGGGACCTACTACCCACAGCTGCCCGGCCAACAAGGAGGGAGGATTGTGGGTGTAACTTGCTCCCACTCAGTAAACCCCACAGACTGATCAAAGGCATGCAAAGTGAGGTGATTTATCAGTGCCAGCCTGTCACAACTGGGCAGAGTGGAGAGCGTAGGCCACACAGTGCTCCAAGGGCTGTGGACTGGAAACTGGGCAGCTGTGATTATTGTAGCCCAGACTGAGCCCCCTTTCTTGCCAGACCGTCAGAAAGGGAAAACTGAGCCCAACGCCACATGGCCGCCACATGGCCTGCAAGAGCCAGGAAGATCTGAAAAACTTGCCGAGCAGGCTTAACAACCAGCTGGGGGCATTTTTTTTTCCCCAAGAGTAAGAGAGTAAGACCTGCAGCTGAGAGAAAATCAGAGACAGGTCCAGAAAGAAGTCAGAAGGCGAACACCAACAGCTGGGACAAATTTCACCTTGCTCTTCATCAGGACTTGCATATTCTTTTCATTTCTTTTTATGACTTTTTAAGGGTTTTTTTGTTTGTTTTGTTTGTTTTTCTCCTTTTCATACTGAATTTTAATTTTTCTTTTGTCACTTCACTTGTGTTCCAGAAAACTCACTACTGTTGGTATTTTACTTTTCATTCTTTTCATTCAGGTTACATATTTTTTATCATATTATTGGTATTCCAAATCCCACATAGCACCCTTCCTCGGTCCTAATCCATTTTGCCATCTTCCTGAGCTTTATTACTGTTGTTGTAAACTTTACTTTTTCTCTCACTATGCCATGTTCCTGTACCTTAGACTCACTATTTCTCCTCCATCTAACCTCATGTAAGTGCTCTTCTTTCTTAAGTCAGCACACATTCTTTTTCCCCTCTTATACGAGTCTTATTTTTTTCCACCTTTTATAAACAGTGGCCAATTGGGTGAAATACCACAGTTATTGCTGTACTTCCCAATGGAACTCATATTTGTTCACTATTTGTTTGTACTTTAAGTCCCATAGAATACTCTCCCCATCTTACTCCATTTTGCCTTCCCCCACCCATAATCAGCTGAGTGACGAATTTTATTTCATTTTTTGCCCTCTCTCAACCTGAGCTTTACTCCTTATTCTTATTAGTTTGCTTCCCCCATCCTCTCAAAATCAATTTTTTTTACAATATATCTCATATTCACTTTTTGCTTTTGTACAATTATTCTTATTCCCGTTCCACCTTTATTAAACTTCATTCAGCTGTCATTGCTACAGACCCTGCTGCAGTTTTTCTGCAATTTTGCTCCTGTTGGTCTAATATTTTTTCAAATTTACTTCAAACCTAATAGTATACTCTTACCTTTTCTTATCCCATTGTTCCCATTGCCCTTTTGTGTACGTTTTAACTTTTGTGCTCTTTTTTTTTTTTTTTGCCTTGGTTCTATCCCTACTCCTATCAATTCTCCTCCCTCTTTCAGTCACTCAGTAATATTTTCTCCTCTTTTAGTCATCTCATATTCCCTTTGTCATATCATATAATATCTGTAATCTCTCTTCACTTTTATTAATTTCACTCAATTGCAGTTGAGATTGCTGATGTGGTAGGGGGGTTCTTTTTGCTGGCGTAGGTTTGGTGGTCTGGTAACACTGCTTCGTTAACCAACACATGTACAGCAGCATACAAGACAAGGTGGGAGTTGTAACTACCACTAAGCCCACTGGAGGGGAGAAGCCACCAACAAGTAAAACCCAAATACAACAAGAGAGCTCACGCAAACAGAAGAAAGGGCAACCCTAGGGGTTCCATACAAGGAGATCAAGGAGACTGCACCACTGAGTCCCACAGAACTCGTACCACAGAAGCCCACCCCATCAAGACAGGCACGCAAAGCAGAGCACTATGAAATGCAGAAACAAACAAAAAGAGTCACCTAAAATGGGGAGGCAAACAAAGAGCCCCCAATCAAAATGAATGGAAGAACCCCCAATAAAAGAGCTAAATAAATTGAGGCAAGCAACTTATGAGACATAGAATTCAAAAAAATAGTTATAAGGATGCTCAAGGAACTCAATGACAACTATAAGGAACTGAGTGAGAACTACAATGGCATGAAAAAGGAGATAGAAAGTATAAACAAGAGCAAGGAAGAAATGAAGAATACAATATCTGAAATAAAAAATACACTAGATGGAATTAAAGGCAGGCTGGATGAAGCAGAGGACCAGATCAGCAAGCTGGAAGACAAGGTACAGAGAAATACCCAGGTATAGCAACAGCATGAAAAAAGACTCAATAAATATAAGGATAGCTTAAGGGAAATTCAGGACAACATGAATGCAACAACATTCCAATGATAGGAATAACAGAAGGAGAAGAATAGGAGCAAGGGAGAGAAAACCTGTTTGAAAAAATAATGACGGAAAACTTCCTCAACCTAGAGAAGGGAAAAGTCATGCAAGTTCGGGAAGCACAAAGGGTTCCAATTAAGATGAACCCAAAGGGGCCCACTCCAAGACACATCATAATTAAAATGCCAAATTTTAAAGACAAAGAGAGAATCTTAAAAGCAGCAAGGGAGAAAGAGATAGTATTATACAAGGGAGCCCTGATATGGCTAGCAGCTCATTTCTCAACTGAAACCCTAAAAACCAGAAGGGAATGGCAAGAAATATTCCAAGTAACAGTAATTCCAACTAGTGCACTGTTGGTGGGCATGCAGGCTGGTGCACCACTGTAGAAAACAGTATGGAATTTCCTCAAAAAACCTAAAGATGGAACCGTCTTTTGATTCGGCAATCCCACTGCTGAGACTATACCCTAAGAATCCTGAATCACCAATTCAAAAGGACCTATGCACCTCAATGTTCACAGCAGCATTATTTACAATAGCCAAGTGCTAGAAACAGCCTGTGCCCTTTAGTAAATGAGTGGATCATAGAACTGTGGTACATTTACACAATGGAATACTTCACAGCAGAAAGAAAGAAGGAATTCCTACCCTTCAAGACAGCATGGATGGAATTGGAGAGCATTATGTTAAATGAAATAAGCCAAGCAGTGAAAGACAAATACTATATGATCTCACCTATCAGTGGAACCTAATCAGCAATACAAAGAAATGAGCTAAACAGAACCAGAGACTTGGAAATAAAGAACAAATTAACAGTGACCAGATGGTAGGGGCGAGAGGGATAACAGGGGAAAGAAGGGAAAGGGGCAAGCAAAGGAACACGAATAGAGGACTCGTGGGCATGGACAACAGCAGGGGACTGACTATGTGAGTGGGCAGGGATGGGGTAGGGGTGAGCAATGGAGAAAATGGCGGGAGAGCTGTAACTGAACAACAATAAATAAATTTTTAAAAATGTACCAGGGGAAAATAATCTACTGTACACCAAAAATTTCAGGACCTGATTATTAGCCTAACTGTACTAGGAGAGAAAAAATGAGAGATTTCACTGATGAGTAAAAACAGTTATAAACAATGGGAAGTTACATGTCTGAAAATTATCAGTAGTACTGTAAGTAGCAAAGCTTTACAGATATTTTATATTAAAAGCTAGAAAACTGTGTAAATACAGGGAGAATTAAAAAATACCCATATATAAAGATATATATACAAAATGTTTATATAGGTTAATAATGTACAATAATAGTGTATGCTAGTAAAAGGTAAAACAAAAGAGTAACTGTGCATCTTGGCCTTGAATCAATGATTTTTAAAGTTATCTTTAAAAGATTTCATTTTTACAAGTTATGACTTTCATTAATAATAGTTTATTCTATAACCAGTAAGAATAAGTAGGAGAGGTAATATCACTATCAACTTACTCCTGTGAAAGCCCATCAAAGCTGCATGGTTCTAGTACCTATATCTAAAAGCAGGTGTATGTCAACAATAGCCATTCTGGTTACCTATGAACAAAGTTGTTCTAAGTTGTGCTAAAGCCTCCACTTGTCTAATAAAAGCAGGTATAAGTAATTAACTATGTAAAAAAAGAAATTACTTTTCCAGTAGCCATGAAGGTGAGAGAACCTCCTTCAATTGAATCTAAATTCGAAAGTGAGAAAACACATTTTTTCATAGTGTCAATTACAGCAAATTAAAATGGGAAAGAGTGGGCTCATTATTTCTAAAAACTTAAAGGTAATACTAAATTAGAGGGAAATGTTAGCAGTGATTACTCTTACCCAAGATGCATCATGAACATCAAAACAGTCTTGGAGTTCATTGTGTCTCCTACACCCATAGCCACCAAAATATATTAATCTGAAAAACAAATACAAAAATACACATTTTAGAAGTTCACTTCCATTTTGTTCATAAAAATTTCAATGAGATCATTTCTCTCGCCCTAACAACCTAAACAAGCCAGGTACATTCATGTTCTGTATAAAAACAGTTCAGTCAACGACAAACTGCACATTTAACAGTGGTCCGATAAGATCATAATGGAGCTAAAAAAAGTCTCTATCACCTAGTGATGTCACAGCCATCATAATGCAGTGCAGTGCATTGCTCACATGTTTGTGGTGATGCTGGTAACAAATCTACTGTGCTGCCTGGTGTACAAAAGAATAGCAAATATAGTATATGATACTTGATAAGTATTGTACATAATACTTGATCATAACAATAAACATCTATGTTAATGGTTTATGTATATACTATGCTATCCTTTCCATCATGATTTTAGAATATACTCTAATTATTAAAAATAACTTTGCTGTAAAATGGTTTGCTGATTTATGCGAGCAGCAGCTTCATGTATCTTGTGTTTATCTACTCTGTTAATTGCATCATTTTCTCATGTGCTTGATTTAATCTCATTTTTTTGGTAGAGTAACATGCCGTACAGACTTGTAGCCTAGAAGCAGTAGGCTGTATCATATAGCCTAGCTGTTACACGATCTAGGTTTCCATAAATAACATTCTATGATATTTGTACAATGACAAAATTGCCTAACAACACACTTCTCAGACTGTATTCCTATCATTAATTAAGTGGTGTGTGACTGTAAACTACAAAACCATAGTTTAAAAAAGTCAAAGGGCAAATGGAACAAAGAGACCTAAATGAACTAATTCCAGGAAGTGACAAGCTCTCAGTAAGAGAGAAGAGACTCACGGCTACTTTCATCTCTGGTGTAACAGCAAGAGGAGGGAGAATTCAGCACAGACAGGGTTTGTAAAAGAGACAACCCAAAATTTTAAAATCGACATGTAGGCTAGCATGGCAAATTAAAAATTCAGGCACAGAGGGAGTTTGAACCCACTCAACAATTCTTTTGCATAGTCTTTAGAGAGGGCGCAGGGTTAGTTACCAGCAGTTGGAAATAAAGGAGAGCTGAGCAAACCTCCTTGAGAAAACCTGAGCTTTCAGCTACTGAAGTGTGGAATCAGGGCAGGAGATCAGAAGGAAACACCTTAGAAGCATGCCAAACCATTATGGCATACAGGGCGACTGCCCCCTAAAGGTCAGAAGAGGAGGTGCAAGGCTAAAAGAGATCTCCCAAGGTACAGAAAACATACACTGGGAATGGGAGCAAAGAAAACTTCCTAGTGACTCAAAGACCCACCAATGAGGCTATACAACAAGGAAAGATCTCCCACACTTCAGAGAGGTGGGAACTCAGTTGTGAAACTCAGCTGAAAATCTTCGGGCAAGTGCTAGTGCTCATGTAACCCTACAAAGGAAAATCTAGATTCTGCCTCAAAGCATTTGAAACTAGTGGTAATATTGAATCAAGCTAAAACTGTAACATAGTCCAAACATAAGTCAACTTACGTTTATACAGATTATACTGACACCGCTTCCATTCTACCAGCCTAAAAAGAGAAGAGCATGTCCTTTTCTGGTGACAAATATCATTTACATATTCTGATATTTACTATTCTTTCACAGAAATGTCTGGCATATGATTTTTAAAAATTACAAGATACACAAAAAGGCAAAAAAAGTGACCCATGATCAAGAGAAGAAAGAGTCAAAATAAGCTGACCCCTAGATGCCTGAGATACTGGAATTAGAAATGGCCTTTAAAATAATTATGATAAAACTGCTTAACAACCTACTTTGTAAAAGGTGGACAACATGCAGGAAGAACTCGGTAATTTCAGCAAAGACATGGAATAATAAAAAAAATAAACAGAAATGCTAAAAATGGAAAATAAGATGTCAGAAATAAAGAATTCACTAGGTAGGCTTAACAGCAAAATGGACATAGCAATGAAAAATATTAGTGAACTTGAAGACAGGTCAATAGGTCAATAAAAAATATCCAAAATAAAGGAAAGAGGAAAAAAAAATAGAGCAGAGGAGGGGACAGGGAGCCCAAGTTCTTAGAACAGCATCAAATGGCCTAATGTGCATATAATAGGAATCCCAAAAGAAAGAGAGACAAGTAAATGTATACAAGAAATATTTGAAAATTACTAAGAACTTCCTAAACTGATGAAAGATATAGATCCACCAACTCCAGAAGCTCAACACACTCCAAGCAGGATAAACACAAAGGGAAGTACATTTAGGCATGTTTTAATCAAATCAATAAATAGCAAAAATAAAGAAGAGGTAAAGAAAACTCAGAGAAACAAAAGACATACAAGGGAACAAAAGCACAAATGAGAGGGAATTTCTCACTAGAAAAATGGAGGCCAAAGGGCAAAGTAATAAAATCTTTAAAGTGCTAAAAGGAAAAATATAACCTGTCAACCAATGGGTGGAAAAAAAGTCACAGGTAAAATTAAAAGCTACCTTGAAATAAATGAAAATGAAAATATAATAAAACATTTATTATTTTTGTTATCTTTACTGGGTTCCTTTTCTCCATTTTCCTCTTTCAATTCCTTATGAGTATTTGGTTCTCTTCCCCTTTCTCCTCTCATAATCATTTTTCTTTCCTTTGGTCTCATATTTTTCCCTTTCCCTGTTCCCTACTATTATATTTCTATCTTTGCTTTTATTATTCTTTGCTCTCTTGTTGTTAATATTGCTGTGGTGGGCAGGGGGTTTGCTTGTTTTGGTGTTGTTCTGTGTTGTTTTGCTTTGTTCTACCAGCACCTATACAACAATGTAAAACACATGGTGGGGGTTGAGCCTCTTAGCCAGCAAGATGGAGGGGAGCTCCCCCAATGAATGGGCAAGTAATAATAAGGACCCAAATACAACAGGAGAGCCTATATAACCAACACAGAGGGCATTCCTAGAGCATCCAGACTGAGAGATCAAAAGGTCTGCACCACTGGATTCCCCAGGACTCGTACCACACAAAGCCACTCCACCAGTCAAAACAAATCAATTTAATACATAGAAACAAACACAAAGAGACAGCTAAAATAGGGAGACATTGAAACAACCCCCAAACAAAAGGAAAAGAGGAATATCCAGAAAAAGAAGTAAGCAGAATTGGGGCAAGCAGCTTATCATAGAGTTCAAAGTAATGGTTATAAGGATGCTCAAGGAACTTAGTGAGAGCTACAAGGAACTTAGTGGGACCTACATCCACATGGAAAAGGACATAGAAACCTTGAACAAGAACCAGATGGAAATGAAGACTGCAACATCTGAAATGAAGAACACACTAGAAGGAATTAAAAGCAGGCCAAACGAAGCAGAGGATCAAATCAGCGAGTCAAAGACAAGGTAGCAAAAACTACAGAGCAACAAAATGAAAAAAGACTCAAAGAATGAGGATAGTCTAAGGGAGCTTTGGGACAACATGAAACATAATAATATTCAAATAATATGGATACCAGGAGGAGGAAAAAAAAAGCAAGGGATAGAGAAACTTTTTGAAAACATAATGCTGCAGAACTTCCCTAACTTGGTGAGGGAAAAAGTCACACAAGTCCAAGAAGCACAGAGGGTCCCAATCAATATTAACCAAAAGAGGTTCACTCCAAGACACATTACAATCAAAATGGCAAACTTAAAAGGCAAAGAGAGAATCTTAAGGCAGCAAGGGAGAAACAGCTAGTAGCATACAAGGGAGCTCTGATAAGGTTATCAGCTAATTACTCAACAGAAACACTAGAAGCCATATTGGCACGACATATTCCAAGTAATGAAAAACAAGAATCTGCAACCAAGACTACTCTATCCAGCAAGGCTCTCATTTTAAATGGAGGGTGAAATTAAGAGCTTCCCAGACAAAAGAAGGCTAAAGAGTACATCTCCATCAAGCAAGCACTGCAAAAGATGTTAAAGGGACTGCTTTAAGTAGAAGAAATACAGAGAGAGACAGAGAGAGAGAACACCAGTACAAAGAGAAAATGGCAATGACCAAATACCTATCAATAATAGTCTTAAAGGTAAATGGATTAAATGCCCCAATCAAAAGACATAGGGTAGCTGAATGGATAAGAAAACATGACCCACATATATGCTGTCTACGAGAGACCCACCTCAGAACAAAGGTCTACACAGGCCAAAAGTGAAGGGATGGAAAAATTATTCCACGCAAATGGACATGAAAAAAAATCTGGGATAGTAATACTTATATCTGACAAAAGAGACTTCAAAACAAAGGCCATAACAAGGGACAAAGAAAGTCACTTCATAATACTTAAGGGAGAAGTCCAACATGAAGAAATAACTCTTGTAAACATATATGCACCCAATATAGATGCACCTAAATATATAAAGAAAATATTGGAGGACTTTAAGAAAGCGATAGACAGTAGTGCAGTCATTTGTAGGGGATTTTAACACCCCACTGTTAACAATGGATAGAACTTCCAAACAAAAAATCAACAAAAATATTGCAGAATTGAATGACACTCTAGATCAAAAGAAATTAATTGATATTTATAGAACATTTCAGAAGAAGTAAAATACACAAAATGCACATGGATCATTCTCAAAGACAGACCACATGGTGGACACAAACAAGCCTCAACAAATTCAAGAAAACTGAGATCATACCAAGCACCTTCTCAGATCACAATGGCTTGAAACTAGAAATGAACATCAAGAAAAAAAACTCAAAAATATTCAAAGATATGGAGGCTGAATAACAGGTTATGAAATAATGAATGGGTTAACAATGAGATTAAGGAAGAAGTCAAAAAGTTCTGGAAACAAAAAAAGAACACAGAACAACCAAAAACCTATGGGACACAATGAAGGCAATACTGAGAGGGAAGTTCACAGGGATTCAGGCCTGCCTAAAGAAGATAGAAGAATCTCAAATAAACAATTGAATATTAAATCTAAGAGAACTAGAGGAACAACAAACAAAGCCCAGAGCAAGCAGAAGGAAGGAAAT